AAAATCTTCACCTAAAGAGTGATTAACACATGGAATTCACTGCCACAGGAGGTGGAGGCAGCGACTACAAGTATGGACAGCTTCAAGAGGGAATTGGATAAGCATATGGAGCAGAAGTCCATCAGTGGCTATTAGCCACAAGGTATAGTTAGGAATTCTCAGGCTGGGGCACGTGATGCTCTGTATTCTTGGTGCTTGGGAGGGGCAACAGTGGGAGGGCTTCTGGTGTCCTGGCCCCATTGGTGGACCTCCTGATGGCACCTGGTATTTTTGGCCACTGTGTGACAGAGTGTTGGACTGGATGGGCCATTGGCCTAGTCCAACATTGGCTTCTCTTATGTTCTTATTTGTGAAATGGCTTTTCTGAGGAAGTCAGGAAAGCTTCCACACTTTTGTCATTCTGCCAGCTACGTAAAACAGAATGGTTCAAGAGGGCATGTTAATAACGGTAATAACAGGGCTATAGGATAACGGAATGGTTCAGGAAAGAGCTTTTATAAAATGAACAGGACTGTGAACTATATCACAGTATATTATGTACTGTTTCCTATATGTATTATCCTGCTCTTACTGCATTGCTTTCTACTTTTGTAATATCATTTTCTACATTGTTTGACATAGCACGTGTAATTATTTTTGCTCTGTTTCAAATTGCTGTAATCCTAGTCTTATTGTATTGTTTATTGAGACTAGGATTACAGCAATTGAAACAGAGCAAAAAGTAATTACACATGGTATGTCAAACAATACAGAAAATGATATTACAAAGGTAGAAAGCAATGCAATTCCTCTTCAGATCACATAAATCTTTCGCATTATTTATTAGATGTCTCATGTGAATTATTGCATTGACCTAACACTGTGCAATCCATTCTGAGTCTCTATGAGAAAGGTAGACTATATAGAAAGTAAATAAAAATAATAAAGTGTACAGGATCAGACTGTGAGGAGGATTCTTTTCTAAGTGAACAAACATAGGCTCAAGCAACCGTGGCATGATCCCTCAGCTGCCCACCGGTGGGATCCGCTCCCAGCAACTTTCCATCTTCAGAGCAAACACCACAACCCTCCCCTGCGAATGAGATTCCGGTGGGTTAGCATATATTAGCAAGAGAAGATCTGTGGACCTAAATTCGTTCTTATTTGTCTCCAGTTCTGTCAAAAATAATTTCCCCAGCAATAAGAGTTCTACAGGACTATTGTGAAACACTGTCCTGTCCTGTCTTTTTCTTTACTTTCTTCTGAGTCTGCTACCTTTTTATCCCTCACCTCCTTAATCTCTCTCTCCGCTTTACTCCAACATGATTTCACTCCCCCCACCCCTGCAGGCTTTTAATATCAGGACTCCAGCCCTGCTACTAATTTTGTTCTAGCCAATTGCATAGGGAATTCACCCTTGAAGATTTCGGACAGGATTCACACTTTTTACCTCAACTCTTTCTTTTTTTACACAGAAAACGTACACCTGAAAGACTGACAGATTTCACACCATCTCCTAATGCTGATTGGAGGGTCTGACAAATGATTGACAGGGCACTGCCCCCCGCCATTTTTGCATGCTGTGGCTAAGGGTGAGCAAGTACCAGGAGCCTAAGCCTTGTTTTGTTCTGGACGTTTTTGCCTGGTCGGTTTCTACCTCCAGTGTTCGGACGGAATTGTAAAATGTTGGATTCTAGGAGAGTCTTTCAGTGACAGGTGGCTTCACAAGCCCCCACACCGTCCACGTTGTCCATGTTCCTGTTTTTAATTCCCGCTGTAGGTTTTTACTGGCGTCAAAATCTTGCCCCAACTGGGTTTGTAAGTGGTAAGGCTGTGGTTTCCTTTGTCTTCCTATCCCGTTGTAAGTGACCCGCAGAAAAGCAAAAAACAAAGCCGCAGCAAAAGAAAGCCCAGGGTGTGGGTGGCCAAGGATAACGGGATTGCACAGAACTTGGGGGAAGAAGTGGGGTGTGATTGTCCGGTATCCCTGCCGTAAGAGGAGCCCAACATTGCTGGAGGGCAGTTACATCGCTGCAGCTTTCCCAACAGGAATATGGCTGGGAGCGGGCCTCCAGCCCCCATCCAGAGTTTGTGGTATCTACTGGATGTCTATCAGAAAGGAGAGAGACTTCTCTGATGCAGTGTCCCTGCCGTCTGAAGTGGACTGTGCTCGGTAAGCTATTGCCTCTTTAGAGAACTGTTTTAAGAAATGAATGGGACTACTAGAGATGTATTCCTAAACCCATATACACAGAAGATTGCTTACGGTGAGAATTCAGTCATAGCAGGCTGGATAACATATTCCCCTTCTAGTTCATCTTGCTTTCAATCACTTCATTCAAACTGTTCATTCATGTTTTTTAAATATATAAATATATGGACAAAACCAATTTGGTATTATTGGGGCACAAAAAATTCTGCAGCTCTTCATTCAACCCCACATACCTAAAATTAAGACCAAATTTACCTTGTTTTAAAAATTACTAAGGGACCATATATCAAGCTGTTTGGAGCATTTAGGGAAAATACTGTGCAAATATTAAGCATTGCTCTAATGATAAACTCACCCCAATTTAAGAATAAACCCCCTAATACCCAAGCCCTCCTCCTGTTTGAAAAGGTCTAATGCCACCTCCCTTTAAATGTATCCCGCATGAAAAAAATTGACCGCAAAAAATAAGAGTTGATAGGAAGTCTTGCGATTATTTCATGACTGTGGCTGGAATGGTTTAGTGGTGTCTAAGAATGAAACTGAAATTGATTTTATGCCTGCAATTAACGTGTTTAACCACAGGGTGGCGGGTGATCAAGTCCGGGGGAAAGTTTTAGATGGAAACGGAACAGTTGGTGAGAGTTGTGGAACTGGGTTCCACTTGTCAGAGCCTATTTGACGTGTAATCCCCAATCCCCCCCCCCTCCGGTGCATTTGCTAATTAAAAAAACAGACAAGGCCAGGATCGTTTGGAATTTTTTTTTTTTTTTAAAAAGAGGTCATTCAAAAGAGTTTTTTAAAAATCCACCTGAGAATGGAATAGGGAGAAAGTGCGACAGGCTGTAAGTCCACTCGGTGGTGGTCTTCTTCTGGATCTAAATGGGCTATTCTGGTTTCAGTTTAGTATATGATTGTCCGTTAACCGAATGACATTCGATTCGATTAACGAACCACCGGCATCGCTCGCAGGGAAACAACCGGACGCCGCACGCCCCGTCGGGTTAGTTTCCCAGACTTTGGGAGCCGGGTGGGGGCGGCTGTTTTAAAAGCGCCTCTCTTCCTCTGGCACTGACTGCGGCGACCCCCGCGTCTGCCTTTGCGCCACTCAGAAGAGGGTCTTTTAAAGGTTCGGGGGGAGACCCGTGCTCCTCCTCTGCTAGAGTAAAACGCTGCAGATCTGGGCGGAACCGACTGGTCCCGTGAAACCCATAACGCGTCAAGAAAGGCACGCGTGGAAAATGCCGTGCCGAGTGCGATGGCCGAAACCCTCGATTAGCAGCAGCAGCAGCAGCCCCACGCCTGAAACGGCAGCGGGAACTCGGCTCCCGAGCGCGGAGACTCCCGCGCAACTCAGGCGTCCGGCGGAGCATGAGTCCGCCGCCGGGTCCTGAACGGAGGGCTCAGCCGGGGCGACCTTTCCCAAAGACAGCGCCCCCCTGGCCCGCCCCCGGAAGGAGGGGACCGGGCTGCGGCACGAAGCGCGGAGAGGGGGCGAGAGAGGCCGTGCCGGCTTGTGGGAACCCGCGCGGTTGGGCCACCCGGCGCTTCCCGCGCGGCGCCCTCTGTGCGAACTGCAGACCCCGGAGACCAGACTCAGGGGCGCGCAACCCTCGGCTCGCCTGCGGGGGATCGGGACTGCTGCTGCTGCGCCCTCGGGACGTCTGGATCGCCCACAGACCGTCCCTCCTCCTCCTCCGGAGGCTATAAACAGCACCGGGGAAGGGGGGGGGAGGAAAGGCGGGCGCCCCCCGCGGGGGCCCAGCCGGGGCAGCTCCGCGGCCGCGGCCTCCCCCCCCCCCCCCCGGGGGGGCTCCTCTGCAACAAGCGCAGCCCTCCCTCCCCACGACCGAGCCGGCGCGCAAATGCTCCAAGCGAGTCAGACCTCTCCCCACCGCCGAGGCAGAAGAAGGGTGAGGGGGGAGGCAGAGGGGGGGGGGACCAGGCCTTGCCCCCCTGCCCGCCGGGGGCTCCCTTCCGACCCGCCCCCCGAAAAGCGTCTCCGATCCGGTCACTTTTTCTTTCCGAAGCGGAGGCTTCCGGAAGGACTCCCAAAAAGGCGATCGGCGGGGAGGAGCCCGGGGAGGGCCGGATCCGCGCCTTTTTAGGACTGGCGCCCCGCGACCGGAATCGCGCTCTTGCTCTCCCCGGGGAGAGGGAAGGGGGGGTCCTGTCAGAAGCCTCCTCCTCCTCCGGAGACCCCCATTAAAAGGGGGGGGGAGTCCCTTCCGGACTTCTGGGGGGGGGGACCCTGCTCCGTCCTGCCCTGCCCCTCCGACCGGAGCTCGCTCTCCCCCGGCCTCCATTCCCCGCTCCAGCCGGGCCCAAGTTCGCAGCAGCGGGGGCGGCTGCCGGGGCGGGGCTCCAGCCACTCAGGACGCGCCATGCTAATTGCCCACGTGACGAGCCTCCCCGACCGCCCTTCCCTGTTCCTCAGTCCTTATATGGGCAGTGACGTAGCGGGCATTCACGGCCTCCAGATAAATACTTAGAGCAAGACTTTCCCCATCTTCCGAGAGCTCCAATTGATTCAAAACGGCTCGGCGAGGGACCCCGACTGTTACAACCACCAGCACCACCACCACATTAACAGCAACTCCCGGGCCTCTGGTCCAGAACCGTTGCACAGGGAGAGACCTCGGGAGCCTTGGTGTGGGGTTTCCCCCCCTCCCCTTTACGTCTATAAAAGTTTTTTAGCCGGGGAAAAATTTCTCCCAGGCTGGAGGAGAGACACCCCCTCCCCCCCTCCCTGCACACTAACTACACCAGCGGGAAGGCAGGGCTGTGGTTCGCCGGCTGGCCTGCGGAGCCGATGATGACCGCCAAGGCCGTAGACAAAATCCCGGTCAGCCTCGGCGGGTTTGTGCACCAGATCCCTGAGAGCCTTTACGCCGCGGAGGACATCGCGGCCTCGCTGCCAACTTCCGTGACCATCTTTCCCAACGGGGATCTGGGAGGACCGTTTGACCAGCTGAGCGGCGCCGCAGGAGGTAAGCCAGACCCCCCCACCCCCGACTTGCACTTTGGGTTCGGCTGGGGGGCGAGAAGATGGGGGCTGGGGAGACCGGACAGACGGGGGGGGGTGGACGGACAGACGGAGCCTTTAGAGCGCGGGGCTCTGCATGTCAGCTGGCGTCGACCCGTTAGACCTGCAGACCTCTGGCCGGGGTCCCTCCCTGGTCACCGAAGGCGCGAGGCCGCCGGGGTTTCGAGCATCGTCCTCAGGGCCAGGGGCTCTTCGGCTGAGAGGGCCGTCGAGTCACAGCGGATTTACGGCGACCCGGCGAGGTTTCCTAGGCAAGAGACGCTTCAGAGGTGGTTCGCCACACTGCCTGCCTGCCTGCCTCTCTGTCCCTGCCCTGGGATTCCTGGGAGGCCGCCCATCCAGATAGTAGCCGAGGCCGACCCTGCTTCGCTTCCGAGATCGGAGCGGAATCCAGCGATCCTGACCTTTCCAGGCAGCTCAGGCTCCCTAAGAACTCCAACCTGCGTGGCGCCCACTCCCCCCCCCCCCCGCT